TGTTGTATTACATATTGATATCTTCAAAGTGGTTTCTCATGAAAACAGATATAGACATACAAAGCTGATCAACCAAGGACTCATTGACAATTTCTTTCTTGCTTGCTCTTCTTGATGTTTCATTTCTACTGTTGTTATTGAAATTGCGGTCCAATTGTTCTCTGTCTAGAATATCTTTTTGTATTCTTTGTAATGCTGGCTAGGTACTCATGAAGTTCTTTAGTTGTTCTTTGTCTTGAAAATATTTTGTTTATCCGTTGAATTTGAGGGATAGTTTGGCAGGATATATCAGTCTTGTTTGGAAGCTGTTTTGTCTCAGAACCTGTAATAATTTGCTCTAAGCTCTTCTTGATTGGACAGTTTGTGCTGAGAAGTTTGCCGTGATTCTGATGGGCTTTTCTCTATAGGTAATCTGTTTCTTTTTTCCAGCAGCTTTTAAGATTCTGTTCTTTTGCTAGAGAATTTGGAACTTGACTATTATATGTCTGGGTGTAGTTTTATTTTTGTTGTGGTTGGTTGGAGTTCTATATGCCTCCTTTCCCTGTATATCAGGTTCTGTTTCCATGCTTGGGAAATTTTCTGCTACTATTTCTGCATATATTCTTTTTATGTCAGTTGTGTTGCTTCCTGCTGTTTCATTGACTCCTATAAGTCATACATTATTGCTCTTTGCTTCATCTTGCATCTGTTGCATTGACTTTTCTTGGGTCTTTTTTGATTTTAGAAGATCCTTTCTTTTATGGTTGCTAGCTGCCATGCTGTTTTCAAGGTCTGAGATTCTATCTTCAGCTTTATTCAAGTGGTTTTGGCAGCTTTTGATGGAAGCTTTGTTTTCGTGGAAGTGTCTTTGAATCTGGTTCATGTGTTCTAAATCCTTTCTATATTTTTCATTTAACACTTCTGTCCATTGCCTTTGTTCTTCTATTTTCTTATATGTTTCTTCTACAGACTTTTTGAGCAGTTCCTTCATTATTATTGTCATTTCATTTTTTGCCTGAGAGATTATTTGTGATCTCATCTCTTCTATGGCCTTATGAAGTTGTTTCTTTACTTCCATTGCAATCATTTCAGCTATTTCAGGCATGTGTTTACCAAGTTCTCCTATGTTGACATCTCCTGGGTTTGTTCTGAGTGGGGTGGAGTTCTGGGATAGTGTTTTAGTCCTTCATTTTGTCATGTTTGCTACCAGATGCAGAAAGCTCAGTTTCCCTCTTCAGTGGCTGCACAGCAAAGGCCACTAGTGTCCCAAGTTTTCCTGTTGGTCAGGTTTGCCCCTCAGTGTCTGCTGAGAAGCACTACTTATTCTCGGGTTTTCTGGGAGTTGTTGATTTGTGTCTAGTTATCCTAGGTCTCAGACTCAGGTATTGGTTTCAGCTGATGGCAGACAGTCTGATCCAGCATCCCCTTGCAGTTCAGGGCATGTGTATGGCCCAGACTCGGGTTGCACTGATGTGAGAATCCTGGTCCAGTGGGCCTATGTCCCCAGGCAGTTCAGGGTACAGGCAAAACCCAGACACAAACTTCAGGTTCGACAGTTTGTGAACCACCTGATTCTGTGTCTCCAGTCAGTTCAGGACACATACAGGAACCAGATGCAGGCTGGACAGGCAGCAATCACAGAGTCCCCATGCCTGCGACCCCCTAGGACATCCCGCCACAAGTGAAGCATGGGCTTAAACTGCTGGACCAGCAGCTCTGGGAGCACTAGCTCACTCAGCGCAGTGTGTGTGCAGGGAGGGGCCATATGTGCCCCCTACTTAGAGCAGTCCCTTGGGCTTCTGTTTGGGGACCTCCTGTCTGCCGTGGGTGCATGGAGGGCAGAGATTCAGTCTGTAATGTCGGTGGGGTCCTGGGTCACCATCTCTGCCCCCAGGAAGTAGATGGGAAATACCTGGCTTTCTCCACGAGTTTCAGCTGGGAACCGTGGTGGTGTGAGTAAAGAAGGGACTTGAACCACAGGAACAGCAGCTCTTGGAGCACTCTCTCACTCATTGCAGGGTGCACTCAGCCCTGTTGTCATTTTTCGTCTCTGTACCTGAGAGAGAAATACAATCCGTCTCATGCTTGGGTTGAAGTCCACTGGTAAGTTGCAATGTAGAGTAGCCTTATGCTCCTGAGTGTCCCTATGACCCTGATACTACACAGGACTCTCTGGTATCACTTACTAGAGTTCGAATTTAGTCAGACCCCAGGAGCCTGGTCTGATTTTTTAGTAAATGTTTATTTGCAAGATAAATCAAGAAGTCCACATCATAGTCCACATTTCTCCTTTTAATCATAGTAAATATCTCGAAACCAAATTCATACTTCCTGAAAATCTACCCTTAAAAAGCTCTTTACATACTCTTTCTATGGTTGAAGTAGCCCTAGAAGTTACCCATATGTCTCATATGATAAGATTTCAAGTAGCTAAAACTTGTATCTACTCTGTGCCAGGCACTGTGCCTAATGGTTTTGTATAGCAATATAACTCTTAAACCTTTGAGATAGGCACCATTACTTTCTCCATTTTTTTATATTTTAAGAAAATTAAAGCTCAAAGAAGTAACTTGTCCAAACCAGGTAGCATGTAGGGCATATAGGGAAGCCAGGATTCCATTCCTAGTACTCTCATTCCAAACTCTAAGTTCCTCACCATGACACTAGTAGATCAGACCTTACTATGCAGATCACTGGACTTTTGTGCAGATTAAACTTCTCAGGTTCTACTGAGTGAATACAAATAATAAATTACAAAAAACATGTGACAATATTAAACTATCCCTTTTTACAAGAAATGTTAGATTTTAATTTCTTTCCTACTGCTCCTTCCCTCTTCCTGTTCTTTCAGTTCCTCAAACAGAAGATCATGAGAAACATATTTTTCCCATGAGTGTTGCTGAAGACAAGGCTGAGGAAGAAGTTCATTGGAAATATAAATGAGAACTCCAGAAAATAGTCTTATATTAATTCCTACCAGATGTGAAATCTTAGGCAGAGCGAAGTCACAGAGTTTCCAGGGCTTCACACAAGAATGACTATCCTACAGTGTGAAATACAGAATTGAAAATGTCAACATTTTTCCTCATAAATCTGTTGAAATCAAGACAATATATGTCTGACAGTTGTCTTTCCCTTTGGGAATGGGGGAGTAGTTGTAGGAAACTGTTTTCATGTGGCAAAAAATAAATAATTAGGATTACACTTATGGCTGAGAGGTAACCATCCAGGTAGATGATCCACATACATTTGTTTCCATGCCACAAGAATAACTAACTTTCTTTGGTCAAGACATAATTCTAATTGATCTGTATACCATGGGAACGATGTGATCAAGAATGCTTCTATTTACCCAGGAATAATATCAGTAACCTTTTCTATGGTAAATAGCAAAATTGTACTCATATGCCCACATGAGTTGGTTAGAAATGTCAACCTTCTATTATTAATGTATTATCCCTGCTTGTCATCTCCTTTGCTGACACCTAAAGAGATAACACCACCTTCAAATATGCCTGTGCATCCAGCTCAGATAATGAGCCAATTAGCTGTCCCTAACTCTGTCAAATCAACATTAGAAAGGCATAGGCAGCTAAATCTTGTTTAAGAAGTGGTAGATAGAAAGAACAAAAGTGAAGTAATAATTGCTAGGAAAAGTAGAGGACCATAACTCTCCTATAATTCATGAGGGTAATCCAAAAGGTAAACCGTTGGCACTTAAATATCCAGTAGGGTGTTCTGGATAGGAACATCACAGTGTTTCACTGAAACAGAATAAAATGACTAGTGACCTTTGTGTATTCTCACCATCAATGTTAAATTTCTTCAGCAAGTTAAAGAGAAAAACCTTTTTCATATTTCTTATAGTCATTTCATACCCCTGCTGAATGTACTTCACTTCCTAAATATTGTACTCATTTATTTCAGAGATTTCCTCACTGTCATCATTAGTCTAGCCATCTATTTTACTATTTATATATTTACATATTGCTTTTATCTATTTTCACACTATAACTGCACAGCAGTTGCAACAGAAATCATATAACCCCCAAGCCAAAAATATGTATTATGTCTCTTTACGGAAAAATTGACAAGCTACAACCTAAATTGTCGGATTTTTTTCTCACTCTGGGAAAGATGAAATAAACATCCTCTCTATCTCTGCCACTGAATTAAGTTGTAAAACCTGGGCAACATATATAGGGAATCTATTGCAGGACTGTGGAAATAAATATTGGCATATCAATCAGAAATAGAGACTATAATTCAAAGTACCAGTGCCAGGTTTGCCATTTTTCTCCCTTCCACTAGAATTCCTGTCATTTAGCCCCACAAGTTGTTTCTACTGTGCCATCCAAGGCAGACTATAGTAACTACAGCCTCAAGCTTGTGGCCAAAAGGCTCAAAAAGGGATAACAGGCAGCTGAAAAAACTAGAAATATTGTACAAATTGGAAGACTTGTGAAAGCAACCACATGAAATTTTCATTAATTTTTAGGATTAGCTATGAGATGTACATATGTGGATAAGATTATAATCAGTTCATAAATGCATTTAAAAATTGAACATTTCTCCTCCCATACACAAGTCAACTCAAAATGAATTGAATATTTAAATGTAAAACATGGAACTATTAAATTCCTAGCAGAAAACATAGGAGAACACCTTTATGACACTGATCTTAGAGATGATAATAACTATTGTCAAAAATACATGTATTCACAAGGATATGCATAAATTTAAACTCTTGCACACTTTTAAGGGGAAAGAAAAATAGTATACTCTCTGTGGAAAATAGAGTTTCCCCTAAAATTAAAAATAGAACTACTCTATGGTCTACCAATCTCACTTCTAGAAATGTATTCAAAAGAACTGAAGTCATGAATTAAAAAAAAAAAAATACTTTCACTCCCATGCTCATTGTAGCACCACTCAGAATTGCTGTGATGTACAAAAAAACTAAATGTCCATAGGCATATGAACTTTGAAAATACAATACTAGTCAGCCTAAAAAGAAGATTGATCAATATGTAACAACAAAATGCACCTTGATGACATCAAGTACAATACTTCAGTCACAGTACATAAGTCCACTTATAATGAGGTATTGAAAATAGTCAAATCCATAGAATCACAGAAATTACCAGTGGTTACCAGGAGCTGGGAAGAGGTGGAAACAGGCAGTAGCTGCCAATTAAGGGGCAACATGTTTTGGTTAAATAAGATGTATGAGCTCTAGGGATCTGCTCTACAACATTGTACTTATAGTCAACAATAACGTATTAAATGCGTATGTGATCGTTAAGAGTATAGATTTCATATTAACTGTTATTACCATGACAAAAAATTTGGTAACATTAGGGAGAATTGAGCTAAAGGCAGACCTCTACCCAGTTCCCAGGCTGGTCCCTGACTGGGGTGCAGATGGAGTTGGAGCAATTAACAGATTTATAAATTCACTACACTGCATCCACTAAATGAAATGATTGTTTTTGACAACATTTATCAATGGGGTTAATCCACTTGAAAATATATTAGTGAGGAACTTTCCAATGGAGGGATCAGATTTTCAACATCTCCAAAATGAACACAATTGACATTTCTGCATCCTGGTGCCTTGCAATAAGAAGTACATAGAGTTCATCACCTATAAAATATTCTTGCCAAAATACTGAGCCAAAATAAAATCAAATATCTAAAACTAATATTTACTTTGAGGAAATTTAGAAAGCATAAAATATATTAAGTGATACCATAAGGGAACAAATGAACAATTCTAAAATTAGTACCTACTACAAGTGTCTGTAGATAAGTTGTCACAGTCTGCAACCATAGCTGCATAGAGGACAAGAAAGATTACTCAAAGATGAGACTTTTTAGTTCAGTTACCAAGAGGACCCAAGGAGCTGCTACTTCAGCACAAAAGAGCTTTAGAAAAACAGCAACAAGCTGAGACATCTAGCTTATTTTTTTGTAGCTCAAAGAAATGAGATCAAAGACGTAGAAGAAAAATACTTGCCACATATTCTATAGGAGTTTGGGTTAGGAGATAATGCCAGAATAGGATGGTTTGCTACATGACACGTGTTGACTGAGTTTAAGCAATATTATCAGGGAAGAAAGAACACAAAGGCCGAAGCAAACATCTCGAAAAGCAAACGGCTTATAATTCTACTTACTGTTGTCCCTCACATTGTGTTCTAAACTCTAATCATGCATTCTAGAAATCATGGTCTAATCATGCATTCTAGAAATCATGGACTGTGGTCCAGAAAGTCCCTTCTTTTTTTACATTCACTTGAAATACTTCTTTGGCCAGAGTCTCCCCATAACAACTACTGACCAAATGCTGAGGGACTCAAAATATCATAAAACAAAAAATGAAACTGAATCCAGCATAGATGAAAGGAAACATAATTATAGAATTTAATATATCTTACTTACTGTCTTAGTTACTTTTATCATTGCTAAGATAAAATACTTGACACCCAAAGTTGAAGGAGGAAAGGTTTGTTGAGCTCATAGTTTGTAGAGGTTTCAGTCCATAATTGGTTGGCTCTAAGGCAGGGTGGCACATGGTAGAAGGGCAACCATTCAGGGCAGTGGAAGATACCAAAAGCAACAATAGAGGAAGGGAAAGCAAGCTTCCTTTTATCCATTCTATTGTATGCAGGCAACCCACCCTAAGACAGGTATAGCACTCATATATTTAATCCCAGCATTCGACCATGAATCAATCACAAAACATAGATTCTGCCAACTCTGAAAAGCCTGTCCCCCACGACATCATGAGGCTGTGGGAGGATAACAATAACAATCCACTTTCGGCACCCCAAAGACTCATGTGCATTCTTTTATGTAAAAGGTATTTAGTTCATCTCTAAGAGTTGCTACAGTCCTAACAATTTTAGAATTGCTGAAAAGTTCACTTTAATCTCCTCTGAGATGTAAGAAAAATCTTAGAAAGATAAACCCTTCCAACATTCAATGGCACAAGATATGCATTTGCATTCCAAAAGTACAAACAGAGGAATACACAGGAATAGGACCAAAGGAAGTCCAAAATCCAGCTGGGCAAACACAAAGTGCCATAGTTCCATGTGCAGCATCCAAGGCAATCTGTGGCAAGATGTGCACTCTGAAGGGCATGGGTGGCACCACCTCTAAGGCACTTCCAGTGATTGTAGCTCCTGTGGCTTCTGTCTTGGGCCTGATTTGTTTCCTCTTTACAGTTTTCCTTACGTGATCCATGCTCCTGGCTTCTCCAAACTTCTGAAGTCTCCACTGCACCTTTGTCTTGACACTAAAAATTTTACATATTTCCTTCTGAAGGGCACACTGTCTGGCCTCCTAGACCTGCTGAAGGGTGGGTGGAAGCCTTCTTGACCACAAAACTCTTCCATCCTGTATGGACCTAAAATCAGAGTCACATAGATGATGTCAAGGTATGCTGCCACCAGGAGCAATAGCCAGACTTCTCTCTGTCCTGGCTGTAGGGGTCAAATGGCTAGGTCTCTGGGCACTCTGAATCCAATTCTAGGGAACAAATTCTTTATGTTACCATCATTCTGGAACATGGCATGGTTGCTGCCATTCTGGAGCATGGTGCTCCAAGGCTTTCTTCTCAAAGTGAAGAGACTGAAAATGGTGGAGTGCTGCTGCTTCTTATGATGCCTCAGGCCATCTTTTCTATTCTTCTGTACCTTCTCAGCAATCAAGATCTCTTCTGTTCTATCTTTGCAGTCCACATCTTTACTGGACCTTCCTTTCTGGCCAAACTCAAAATCTTTTAAATTATTCTACTGGGCTCCTTACTTTTGATTCTCAACATAAATCTAGCTAAAAGACTCCAATAGTAGCCATGCCACAGCCTAAACATTAGACTGCCTTAAAATTTCTTCTGTCTGATTCAGTAGTCTGCCACCCTTAATCTTAGTCTCAGGTAAAGTGTCTGGACATGAGCAAAATGCAGACAATTTTCTGCCAAGCCATAACACATATCACCTGGAGTACAATAGCCAATGCAGTTCTTTTCCCCAGCAGAAACTTTGGGAGCCTCATCTTTACCAGAGAATTTCTATTAACCTTCTGAACTCTGATC